ACCTTTGGATGAATTACTCTCAACAGCAGTACAGCGCCCTGCGCGTGTAATATAATAAGGCATTTCGGGTTAATGGGGCTGCCTCGGTTCTTCACCCGTAGGGGATGTTCGCTGAAGTGCGAGTGGATTGTTTCTAAGCGGTCATACGCAAACGGTGTACATCCTTGGTACGTAGTATTCGTGCCAGTTCCAATCGCATCCTAGTGATGATCTCGAATAGAGTTGACTGTCAGTACCTGAACCATTGTTGTACTGTACTGGCAAATAAACAACCCTAACATTTTTGATGATTTTGGTTTGAAAGATTTTTATTTATTTGTTTATTTTTATTGAACTTTTCTTTATTATTGTAATTATTTACTAAAAATAGGCTGTGTTATCACATAATTATACTAATTATGTTATATACTCGTTGGTCGAAATAAAGACATTATTATTATTATAATATTGTAGTTGTAGCACGAATGGGTCGACTCGAGAAGGAAGAGACACTAAGCTCTCACAGAACACCAGCCTAAAATAGCAGCTTAAATGAAAAACACGAAAAATATCAAAATTGGTAAACGTTCATTGGTTTGAGTTGTAAATACCGATTTTCATGTTTCTGTGGTTGTGCGTAATTTCGATTCTTTGATATCTTTTAAAGTATTCATTTTAATTTAAATGAAAGTAATTTTTACGAATTTTATCGCGTATAATATATTAACTTATTTTATATTCCCGACGTTTCGAGCACTTTACAGCACGGCTGAGGTGTACGTCATCCCAATGTCATAGCCACGGCACCTTCAGTTTCATATTATTGGTTTTTGGTCCAATCTATTTTTATGTATATATTTTAAACTGTAGGTACTCTTAACAGAGTATTTTCAGTGTTTCGAGCACCGTCAAATTTCCTGGTAAAATAAAAAATATCATACAAACTGTAACACCATATTTCACTCTTTTAAGGGTTGGAATATCTAAAATACTTTCTTGGTGGATGCCTTAGTAATAAAAGGAAACTATTGTCCTAATTTCCCGCCTCAATGTACAGAAATTTTGAGCTAGGCCTCTTAATTAAATTTTTTCATATTAAATTTGCACCCTTGTCTTAAAATCTCAAAATAGTTCTTAAATTAAACAAGTGGTAAAATTACCAAATTTTATACAACCGAATTCAATATAAATAAAATGAGAACATCATAAATGTATTAGAATTCAATTAAATACGCATTATTAAGGATAAATAAAAAAACCTGGTCAGATTTTAATCAAATTTATACACACGAGAAACACCAACTTTCAAATAAGAAAAGAATCATCAAATTCGTTTCACCCAAAAAAATCTGAGGTAACACACATAAAAAAAACGTACAGTCGAATTGAGTACCTTGAACGACATGGATATGGACTGCATGACAAATAAAAACCAGAGGTGATTGTGATCACCTCTGGTTTTTATTTGTCAGTTTTATAATAATAATAATAATAATAATAATAATCATTTATTGACAGACAACAAAGGCCCGTAAAAAAAGAAACATAATTACTTATAATCTACAAACATAAGAAAAATTGAAATAAACTGAAATACAAAAATAAATATAAATTAAATAAATGCCACCAAACAAATTAAAACTTACATCTTAACATAGTAGACCAATATTTAAATATTTCACTACAATTTTGTGTTAAAATTAGTATAATCGTGTTTCCAGATTTGAGAAGATTACTTCTAAATCTGGCCACACGATGTCTTATCAAAGCATCGAGCGTCGGTACGCGAGCCTCAGCGAACATTGTAGATGCACTACAGTACCTCGGAAAACGAAATAATATTCGGAACGAATCGTTATATTGAACCTTAAAAATTCGATAATTTTCCTTTTTAAATTTAGTCCAGAGATGCGGTGTGTAAAGCGATTGGCAATAGGTTTTAAATAGTAATATTTTAGCATCTCGCTCGCATTTATTAAATTTCCTGCCAATCATATTTGCACGTACAGCAAGGGACCGCCTTTCTCTGTCCATGTCCTGATCATCCTTCAGGTCACTCGATACGATATGTCCTAAATATCGAAAGCTCGTCACAAACTTCAAATTTTTGCCGTTCAGGTATAATGGCAAACAAACATCTTTACTATGCGCTCCAAAGACCATTGCCACAAACTTCTCTGCATTATAAACTAAATCGTGGCTTGCTGCGTATCTCTCACAAATAGAAATTAACTTCCTTAAGGCTCCGATTGAGGGGCTCAATAAAACCATATCGTCTGCGTAACTAAGATTGTTTACACATTTCCCACCTACATGACAGCCGATACCCGTTTCATTGAGCTCCTCAATTAGAGCGTTAACGTAAAGGTTAAACAGCAGAGGAGAAGTCAGCCCACCCTGCCTAACCCCCCTTGTCAGTACAAACTCGTCCGAAAGCGAGCCATCCCAGTTCACTACATTAACCTGCGTATTATACATATTAAATATTTACAGTTCACACTTATCGTAAATGACAAGACATCTTTATATCGCGATCTATATATCGCTCAACGCCATCTACACTAGAAAAAACGTTGCTAATTTAAACAAGTGAACATACCTCCTCCTTTTTGAAGTCGGTAAAAAAGACCATTAGTTGTTTTTTCTCTCCATACAAATTTGAACACGTATTTTTTTATATCGTATTTGTTCTCCGTAAGGGGTTGTTTTGGAATATCGCATTGTGTATGTATTTTATTAATTTGTTTTATTACAAAATTTTCGTACAATGATTTTTTATGAATTTCGGTGTCATTTAAACCAACAAGAAAGTTATAATAGACTTCGATTGGACTTTTACGATGAAGTCCCATCTCGTGCCACTGTTTACAACTGGTTTAATGAGTATAAACGTGGTCGCACTAACCTCACCGATGATCTGGGTGAGGGACGACCTTCTGCGGCGACGAATGAAGATAACATCAGTGTTGTGCGGCGTAAGAGTGACTTATTAGCAGATTCGGACAAGCTTAGGCATCGATATGAACACAAAATCCACCATGAACATTTAGCGGTTAGAAAGATTTGTGCCTGGTGGATACCTCTTAATTTGACAGAGGCCCAAAAACTCCATCGTGTTGATTGGTGTCGTGAAATAGTTCACAGATTTAACGGAGGTGACTCAAGTGCTGTGTTCGACATACTAACGAGTGACGAAAGTTGGATTTATTGTTATGATACTGAAGCTAAGAGACAGTCTGCTGTCTGGGGGTTTCATTCCGAGGAGTTGCCAACTAAAATTAAGAGAGGTCGAAGCGTGGGAAAAAAGATGGTGGCCTCGTTCTTCGGAAGGTTGTTTGCGTGGAGGCAGTTTACAAACATAAATTTTATAACAAGGACAAACATTCAGACCCGGAACAATTATTTGTAGGCCATACAAATACTTGTTCCGTGCGGGATTCGAACCCACGGCCACAGCGCAGCCACTCATTGCTAAGCCACGGCGCCATGTACCGTCGAGTTACTGCAGAGTGATTCATTAACAATTGTTTGTCTTGAAAAAATTTCAGGAGAAACGACCACGCAAAAGGATTCTTATTCACCACGACAATGCCTCGTCGCACACCGCCAAGCAAATAATCAACTACTTGGAAACGTCAGGCGTGGAATTACTGGGTCACCCGCCATATAACCCTGACCTCGCACGTTGCGATTTTTATTTATTTCCGAAAATAAAAGAAAAACTTCGAGAAAATCGTTTTGTGGACGCCGAGGAAGCAGTGGCTGCATTTCAAAATGCCGTCGAACAGACCCCTAAGCACGAGTGGGCAAAGTGTTTTTCTCAGTGGTTCCATCGGATGCAGCGATGTATGAAGTATTGATGTAAATGGACACTATTTTGAAAAGATATAATAAAACTAATAACTTGCTAGTTTGTTCAGTTTTTGATTTTCTAAGAACTTTCAGTGTCACCCTGGTAATAATTGTAGTTTCATACAAACTATAACACCCTATTTCACCCTCTTAGGGGTTGAATTTTCAAAAATCCTTTCCTAATGGATGCCAGCCTCATAAAAGGCAGCTACTGGCCAAATCTCAGACTTCTACGTGTAGTGGTTTGGGCTGTGTGTTGATTGATGTGTCAGTCATTTAGGACATCCTTTTTTGTTTCCCGACTGAGGAGGTTAATATGTGGTTACAAAAGTTATTGAGGTGGGCCGATTTTGATGACTCTTACGTCAATCGATTTCATCTTGTTAGTGTAACACAGTGTGTGAGTGTAAAGACTTGACACTAATAAAAATTGACAATATGGCAACAACCAGACGTATTGCTTAACACGTTAGCTGCCATGTTGGACTATATGTCCGACAAGCTAATGTTTCAATCAGGCCGTGTCGGACTATGTGTCCGACAAGCCATACTTCCATTCAACACCTCGCTGTGGCTTGTCGGACGCTTTTTAATCGAATTGTTGTATACAGCGTAACCCGCAAGGCCCCATAAAGCTTATAAACAGCAGGTCAACCTAACTTTTATCAACTGTTTAGTAATAATAGCAGTATGAACTTCGAAGGGACAGTAATTTTAAATAAAATATATAGCTCAAATCAAACGTTTATTATTACTAATTTTGAAGAACATAATTATGATTATCTTTAAAAATGAAATGTCGTCAATTGTACTAGCAACGGTAATTAAATTTAGACATATAAAGGTACAAAAAATTACTTATGAGAAAAGCATTGAAACAGTTAAGACACAAATGAGGTTTTTCTGGACAGCCAGGGCAATAAGTCGCAACTTTTTTTTAACTCTTATTGCGAGCTTGTAGTGTTCCTAGATTCTTGACATTGTTTTTGTAACAATGTTGGCAGTTCCTACGAATATTTTTAGAAACGCCTTCTTTCCGTGTAAGCTTATGTATTACTCGCAATGGTCTTACCGGTCTTGGTGTATCTATTTCCTGTGAAGTAGTCATTAGATATTTTATTATGGCTTGTGTGAATTTAACAATGGAAATATTCCTTTTTGTTGTTTGTTTATATAGAACTAAGGCATTTACAATTGATGTATTGAGTAGTAGAGTACTCACAAGCATGTTTTCGATACCATTTTACTGTCTTACGCAATGGTGTTGAATATGCTGACATTTGATCAGACAGGTCTACGGCCGACTTCACTTGGTTGTAGGGCAAAATAATTTTGGGGTTCTTGGTAACAATGCCCCGTTTACTCGTACTTTCTTTTAGTATGTTAGAGTATTTTGTAGACAGCAGAAGTACTTCGCGTTTATCTCGCAACTTCATAACGGTTATACCCCTTTGAGTCTCTCTAGAAATATATTCACCAGGTTTGAGCTTCGTTTCAGTGACTTCTTTCGGCAATCTCTTTCTATTTTTGCGGAGCATACCAACCAGATGCGTCTCTGAATCAAGTAACTTGTCTGCTAAATCTACACTGCTATACCAGTTATCGGTATACATAGTGTGTCCTTTATTCAACAGGTTACTACAAAGATTAAGAACTATATTTGTTGGTGTATTATTTTTGGACTCGGAACTTTTCCCTGCATATATTTCTAGCCTAAAAGTGTAACCTGGCGTTGTGCACAATTTGAAAATCTTTATACCGTATTTATGCCTCTTCTGTTTCAAGTACTGTCTAAATATAATTCGGCCGCGAAAAGGAATGAGGCTTTCGTCTACACATAATGACTCATTGGGAATGAAATGGGCTTGAAAATTCATATTTAGTGTTTTAACTAATTTATCTATTTTGTGTAGTCGATCACTCTTTTCAGTTTCTTCATTATTTGAGAAATGTAGCATACGAAGTAAAATTTCAAATCTGTTTCGAGTCATGGCATTTTTTGCGAAATCTTGTCGAAACATCGGATCTGTAGATCTGTGTCGAGATTGACCACACATCATTTGGCAAAGCGCCTGAAGTAGATGGGCGCGCAGATGAGAAATACCGCTCATCATCACTTTCACTATCTGACAAGATACGACGTCGCTTCCTACTACGTGGGACAGCCAAAGATTAACTGCCAAGAAAAACTGCGCTTGCGTTGACACGATAGTTCGATTTTATTAATTTCATCTAAATCGTCTTGACTTAATTCTTTATCGTCGAAAAACATAGTTCACAGTCGAATATTTACTATTTACGACACAACTATTAACGAATAGTTGAAATAACCTCGAAATCGTAATAAAACAAAAAGTGGTTCAATGCGATTCCGATGCAAGTGCAATATGCAACTAGGCATGTCGATCTAAAATCGATTAATCGAAAAATCGATTATCTGGAGTAAAATAATCGATCTTTTAGATCGATTCAGAGCACCGCATCGATTCGATGAATCGATCCAAAAACCTCTCGAATCGGACTGATTCATCTGATTCAAGAACTAGCGATAAAGTTCCCAAACTGGAGTAAGAAGTTAGATACCGCAGTTTTTTAATTTTTTGCTGTTGGCGGACGCAAAAAGAACCAGTCGTACTTGGTTGATAATTTGAACGCAATATATATTTAAATTAAATAAATATTTACGAACACATTCAAATACATCGAAAAGTTGTTTTTCATTTCTAAAATTCTAATTCTAATCCTACCTGTGGAATGTGTTTCAGGTATACAAAAAGTACTCTGTGAATGTGGGTCCAACTTAATCTGTACTGTGAACAAAGACCACATCATATATTATAACACACCACACATAATATATTATAGCTGTGAACCTGTGAATTCATTATTTTAATTATTATAAAAAATATACATACTGTGAGCTAAGACCACAGACAGAGTACTTTTTAAATACCTAGATACTGTATATAAATATTAAATGTTGAAGTTTATAGAGGTTTATAGTTACGAAATAACCAGTATTGTTTTCGTATAGCATTCATTTTAATTTGATAAATAGTGAGTTATTAGATTGAAACCGATTTATCGAGAAATATACGTAGCAATTAGCACTTTTGTTAAAGTATTGTTGTTCTTTTTAGCCTAAAATGTCAACTAAATGTGATACATGGAATCACTTTGTAAAAAGGGGATCGAATGGCGTATGCAAGTATTGTCATATCGAATTAAAAACATGCGGAAATACAACAAATTTACGCAACCATTTGTTGCGAAGACATCCATGTATTAAGTCTGTCTAAACGCTAAAAATTTAACTATTTGTAGTTTTTACGATTCGCCAATTAAGTCAGGCAAAGGTCTGAAACCATACAGCCTAGTCTGATGTGAATTTAAGAAACAACAACAAACAAATATGGCTACATATACGTTGTTAACTAAGATGGAATACCCCACAGCCTGTAATTGTACATAAAACAAAAGGTAAATGTAATTATAAAGTTCAATTTAAGAAAATTCGCAATTCTGGAAACAATCTTTGGAAATGTCACGATTAATCTAAAATCGCTCTTTTAATCCTCGATTTAATCGATAATCAATTCTAGTATGTTGAGATCGATTTTTTTTAAGAGTGAATAAACATGCCTACATGCAACTGATCTGGCCTAGCCTAGAGCGAGGGACAGTAGAATCTTGCACTATGATAGGCCAAAACTCTTGAGTGCTTCCTATTGTCCTATCCAAATAATAACCGTCATGCACGTGTCCAACAAAGTGACCCGTGCGGCGAAGTGTGGAAAAATACTTCGTTCAGGCCGTTTCGGACTATATGTCCGACGAATTGTAAATATGTAAATAATAAGTATATTAGCAATCTAAATAAGGTATTACTATATTTTTGGTGTTTTCAAATGGTTTTGGACAAAATTTTAAAAAAATATTTTTTTCGTTTTTCAAAAATCACTCTGGCAGCTAACATGTTAAAGGAAAAAAATTAAAGTCGCCGAACTATTCCAAGTTGGGTATAATTGATTAGGTCTTTGAAAATCATATTTATATTTCTTTAGTCATTCTACACTTTAAATGACCATTTAGGATATATAACGATTTAAAGTTGGTTAGCGACCATTCCAGCTTAAATTTTCAAAACTTATAATGAAACTGTGTATTATACGACTATACAAAGTTCTAATATAACAGCATAATGAGTATTATTAGTAATTTTCTTACGCAGTCGTGTTTTTTTATAAAAAGTTAACCTTGCTTGTATATAAAGATAATTAAATGAATGTGTAAATGTAAAACAATCATATTAGAACAAAAACTTGATTGAAAATAAAATTGCACAATGCAAGTATAATTAAGTCATGCACAGGCTTAAAATTAATAAAAAATACTGGATAATAAATAAATTATGCTTAATAATTTCCTACATTTACGCAAATACGGCAAATTGAATGAAACTATGTTTTTGGTTCTTATCGTTCTCTCTCATCCACCGGTTTTATACCAAAGTTACTCACACAAAGCCTTAACACTCCACACATGCCTACTCATACTGTTCACATGCTCCAAAAAGCCACTTGTCGCATCACCTGAAAGTTTCTGACTTCCTCTACTCTATCATCCACTTTTACAATTTAAATTTCCCTCACATACTTGGCTCCGGCCCGTGTGTGTAGTTCATTATTTATAAAATGTAAGCAAGAACAGTGAGCTAAACATCTAAACAATGATATCATATTAATATCCGAAAATATTATGTGCGAAATCATTTAATGTTGGATAGCTGTAATATTTTTAAGTAATTAAGCGATGCAACACTTTTTGTTTTCCAAATAAAATTTAAAAGAAAATATTAATCCATATTTGCGTTTTTGTCGATGCAAAATATATGCAATTAAATAGATTTCTGCAATAGAACTTACCTCACTTATTAATAATATGTTTGTGGAAAAAAACGGCCAAGTGCGAGTCGGACTCGCGTATGAAGGATTGCGTACCATCGTATAAGAATGAATACTAGGTAGGTAGGGTACTCGTAGTACGACACTGAAAGTTTTTAGAACTGGCCACTTGTAAACGATATAGATAATAAAAAAATAAGTTCAAATTTTGAAAATGGAACTCTTACGAATTGGCGGCAAATTGAAAATTTTCTGCGTTACGTCGGCGTGAATTTAACGCGAGAATTTTTTTTTAGATTTTTTATGAGTTTCGATGTCATTTAAGTCAACAAGAAAGTTATGAGATTTTTATTTATTTCCGAAAATAAAAGAAAAACCTCGAGGAAATAGTTTTATGGACGCCGAGGAAGCAGTGGCTGCATTTCAAAATGCCGTCGAACAGACCCCTAAGCACGAGTGGGCAAAGTGTTTTTCTCAGTGGTTCCATCGGATGCAGCGATGTATGAAGTATTGATGTAAATGGACACTATTTTGAAAAGATATAATAAATTTAATAACTTGCTAGTTTGTTCAGTTTTTGATTTTCTAAGAACTTTCGGTGTCACCTGGTAATAACTGTAGTTTCATACAAACTATAACACTCTATTTCACCCTCTTAGGGGTTGAATTTTCAAAAATCCTTTCCTAATGGATGCCAGCCTCATAAAAGGCAGCTACTGGCCAAATCTCAGACTTCTACGTCTAGTGGTTTGGGCTGTGTGTTGATTGATGAGCCAGTCATATAGGACATCCTTTTTTGTTTCCCGACTGAGGAGGTTAATAGTGTTTACCAACATATATATATATATATATATATATATATATATATATATATATATATATATATATATATATATATATATGTATGTATGTATTTTGGTTACAAAAGTTATTGAGGTGGGCCGATTTTGATGACTCTTGCGTCAATCGATTTCATCTTGTGAGTGTAACACAGTGTGTGAGTGTAAAGACTTGACACTAATAAAAATTGACAATATGGCAACAACCAGACGTCATATTGCTTAACACGTTAGCTGCCATGTTGAACTATATGTCCGACAAGCTAATGTTTCAATCAGGCCGTGTAGAACTATGTGTCCAGCGTGATATATTGTATGTGTACAGCGTGACCCGCAAGGCCCCATAAAGCTTATAAACAGCGGGTCAACCTAACTTTTATCAACTGTTTAGTAATAAAGTAATAATAGCAGTATGAACTTCGAAGGGACAGTAATTTTAAATAAAATATATAGCTCAAATCAAACGTTTATTATTACTACTTTTGAAGAACATAATTATGATTATCTTTAAAAATGAAATGTCGTCAATTGTATTAGCAACGGTAATTAAATTTAGACATATAAAGGTACAAAAAATTACTTATGAGAAAAGCATTGAAACAGTTAAGACACAAATCAGGTTTTTCTGGACAGCCAGGGCAATAAGTCGCAACTTTTTTTTTGTCTTATTGCAAGCTTGTAGTGTTCCTAGATTCTTGACATTGTTTTTGTAACAATGTTGGCAGTTCCTACGAATATTTTTAGAAACACCTTCTTTCCGTGTAAGCTTATGTATTCCTCGCAATGGTCTTACCGGTCTTGGTGTATCTATTTCCTGTGGAGTAGTCATTAGATATTTTATTATGGCTTGTCTGAATTTAACAATGGAAATATTCCTTTTTGTTGTTTGTTTATATAGAACTAAGGCATTTACAATTGATGTATCGAGTAGTAACTCACAAGCACGTTTTCGATACCATTTTACTGTCTTACGCAATGGTGTTGAATATGCTGACATTTGATCAGACAGGTCTACGGCCGACTTCGCTTGGTTGTAGGACAAAATAATTTTGGGTTTCTTGGTAACAAGGCCCCGTTTACTCGTACTTTCTTTTAGTATGTTAGAGTGTTTTGTAGACAGCAGAAGTACTTCGCGTTTATCTCGCCACTTCATAACGGTTATACCCCTTTGAGTCTCTCTAGAAATATATTCACCAGGTTTGAGCTTCGTTTCAGTGACTTCTTTCGGCAATCTCTTTCTATTTTTGCGGAGCGTACCAACCAGATGCGTCTTTGAATCAAGTAACTTGTCTGCTAAATCTACACTGCTATACCAGTTATCGGTATACATAGTGTGTCCTTTATTCAACAGGTTACTACAAAGATTAAGAACTATATTTGTTGGTGTATTATTTTTAGACTCGGAACTTATCCCTGCATATATTTCTAGCCTAAAAGTGTAACCTGGCGTTGTGCACAATTTCAAAATCTTTATACCGTATTTATGCCTCTTCTGTTTCAAGTACTGTCTAAATATAATTCGGCCGCGAAAAGGAATGAGGCTTTCGTCTACACATAATGACTCATTGGGAATGAAATGGGCTTGAAAATTCATATTTAGTGTTTTAACTAATTTATCTATTTTGTGTAGTCGATCACCCTTTTCAGTTTCTTCATTATTTGAGAAATGTAGCATACGAAGTAAAATTTCAAATCTGTTTCGACTCATGGCATTTTTTGCGAAATCTTGTCGAAACATCGGATCTGTAAACCAGTAATCGGCAAGAGATGATAATCTCACTAACCCCATCCGCAGAATAAGAGCAAAGAATTTTTTTATCGCTCTGACGTCTGTAGGCACCCATTTGTGAATTATTGAGACTCGTTTTAATCCACCATTTAAGATTATTTGTTCTGCAAATAAGTTCGTTTGATATACGATGTCTTCAAAAACTGTGTCCGGTACGAGTAATGCGTAAAAGTCTGGCGGGTCAGAATTTGCCATCAAACGTCTCAGTTGAATAGGTTTTAGCCCGTGTGATTCTGTGTACGGTATAATTTTGGGTTGGTTACCTGTCGAGATTGACCACACATCATTTGGCAAAGCGCCTGAAGTAGATGGGCGCGCAGATGAGAAATACCGCTCATCATCACTTTCACTATCTGACAAGATACGACGTCGCTTCCTACTACGTGGGACAGCCAAAGATTAACTGCCAAGAAAAACTGCGCTTGCGTTGACACGATAGTTCGATTTTATTAATTTCATCTAAATCGTCTTGACTTAATTCTTTATCGTCGAAAAACATAGTTCACAGTCGAATATTTACTATTTACGACACAACTATTAACGAATAGTTGAAATAACCTCAAAATCGTAATAAAACAAAAAGTGGTTCAATGCGATTCCGATGCAAGTGCAATATGCAACTAGGCATGTCAATCTAAAATCGATTAATAGAAAAATCGATTATCTGGAGTAAAATAATCGATCTTTTAGATCGATTCAGAGCACCGCATCGATTCGATGAATCGATCCAAAAACCTCTCGAATCGGACTGATTCATCTGATTCAAGAACTATCGATAAAGTTCCTAAACTGGCTGGGGTAAGAAGTTAGATACCGCAGTTTTTTAATTTTTTGCTGTTAGCGGACGCAAAAAGAACCAGTCGTACTAGGTTGATAATTTGAACGCAATATATATTTGAATTAAATAAATATTTACGAACACATTAAAATACATCGAAAAGTTGTTTTTCATTTCTAAAATTCTAATTCTAATCTTACCTGTAGAATGTGTTTCAGGTATACAAAAAGTACTCTGTGAATGTGGATCTAACATAATCTGTACTGTGAACAAAGACCACAACATATATTATAACACACCACACATAATATATTATAGCTGTGAACGTGTGAATTCATTACTTAAATTATTATAAAAAATATACATACTGTGAGCTATGACCACAGACAGAGTACTTTTTAAATACCTAGATACTGTAAATAAATATTAAATGTTGAAGTTTATAGAGGTTTATAGTTACGAAATAACCAGTATTGTTTTCGTATAGCATTCATTTTAATTTGATAGATAGTGAGTTATTAGATTGAAACCGATTTATCGAGAAATATACGTAGCAATTAGCACTTTTGTTAAAGTATTGTTGTTCTTTTTAGCCTAAAATGTCAACTAAATGTGATACATGGAATCACTTTGTAAAAAAGGAATCGAATGGCGTATGCAAGTATTGTCATATCGAAATAAAAACATGCGGAAATACAACAAATTTACGCAACCATTTGTTGCGAAGACATCCATGTATTAAGTCTGTCTAAACGCTAAAAAAATTAACTATTTGTAGTTTTTACGATTCGCCAATTAAGTCAGGCAAAGGTCTGAAACCATACAGCCTAGTCTGATGTGAATTTAAGAAACAACAACAAACAAATATGGCTACATATACGTTGTTAACTAAGATGGAATACCCCACAGCCTGTAATTGTACATAAAACAAAAGGTAAATGTAATTATTAAAGTTCAATTTAAGAAAAATCGCAATTCTGGAAACAATCTTTGGAAATGTCACGATTAATCGAAAATCGCTCTTTTAATCTTCGATTTAATCAATAATCGATTCTAGTATGTTCGATTCGAATCGATTCAGGTATCGATTTTTTTAAGAGTGAATCGACATGCCTACATGAATGAATGAATGAATGAATGAATATACTTTATTGCACACCACAAACAAATTTACAAAGAACATAACAGAGAGCAGATTACATGTACAATTTGGCGGCCTTATCGCTACATAGCGATCTCTTCCAGGCAACCAAAGGTGTAAAGGAATAAAACAGTGAGTACTAGGTAGGTGGTGCAATATAAATATACCTAATATAATATCAATACATGCAATAAAATAACATATAAGTAAATAACTAATACATTAAAAAAATATGATACACATATACATACGTATATACATAAACATACACACACACATACACATATATATACACATATATACATACATATATCCTCAAATATATACCACTAACAATAACATAAACAAATGTATATAATAATACATGCAACTGATCTGGCCTAGCCTAGAGCGAGGGACAGTAGAATCATGCACTATGATAGGCCAAAACTCTTGAGTGCTTCCTATTGTCCTATCCAAATAATAACCTTCATGCACGTGTCCAACAAAGTGACCCGTGCGGCGTAGTGTAGAAAAATACTTCGTTCAGGCCGTGTCGGACTATATGTCCGACGAATTGTAAATATGTAAATAATAAGTATATAAGCAATCTAAATAGGTAGGTATTACTATATTTTTGGTGTTTTCAAATGGTTTTGGACAAAATTTTTAAAAAATATTTTTTTCGTTTTTCGAAAAATCATTCTGGCAGCTAACATGTTAAAGGAAAAAAAATTAAAGTCGACGAACTATTCCAAGTTGGGTATAATTGATTAGGTCTTTGAAAATCATATTTATATTTCTTTAGTCATTCTACACTTTAAATTACCATTTAGGATCTATAACGATTTAAAGTTGGTTAGCGATCATTCCAGCTTAAATTTTCAAAACTTATAATGAAACTGTGTATTATACGACTATACAAAGTTCTTATATAACAGCATAATGAGTATTATTAGTAATTTTCTTACGCAGTCGTGTTTTTTTATAAAAAGTTAACCTTGCTTGTATATAAAGATAATTAAATAATAAATGTAAAACAATCATATTAGAACAAAAACTTGATTGAAAACAAAATTGCACAATGCAAGTATAATTAAGTCATGCACTGGCTTAAAATTAATAAAAAATACTGGATAATAAATAAATTATGCTTAATAATTTCCTACATTTACGCAAATACGGCAAATTGAATGAAACTATCTTTTTTGGTTCTTATCGTTCTCTCTCATCCACCGGTTTTATACCAAAGTCACTCACACAAAGCCTTAACACTCCACACATGCCTACTCATACTGTTCACATGCTCCAAAAAGCCACTTGTCGCATCACCTGAAAGTTTCTGACTTCCTCTACTCTATCATCCACTTTTACAATTTAAATTTCCCTCGCATACTTGGCTCCGGCCCGTGTGTGTAGTTCATTATTTATAAAATGTAAGCAAGAACAGTGAGCTAAACATCTAAACAACGAATATTAATATCCGAAAATATTATGTGCGAAATCATTTAATGTTGGATAGCTGTAATATTTTTAAGTAATTAAGCGATGCAGCACTTTTTGTTTTCCAAATAAAATTTAAAAGGAAATATTAATCCATATTTGCGTTTTCGTCGATGCAAAATATATGCAATTAAATAGATTCCCGCAATAGAACTTACCTCACTTATTAATAATATGTTTGTGGAAAAAAAAAACGGCCAAGTGCGAGTCGGACTCGCGTATGAAGGATTGCGTACCATCGTATAAGATTGAATACTAGGTAGGTAGGGTACTCGTAGTACGACACTGAAAGTTTTTAGAACCGGCCACTTGTAAACGATATAGGTAATAAAAAAATAAGTTCAAATTTTGCAAATGGAACTCTAACGATTTGGCGGCAAATTGAAAATTTTCTGTGTTACGTCAGCGTGAATTTAACGCGACAATTTTTTTTTTAGATTTTTTATGAGTTTCGATGTCATTTAAGTCAACAAGAAAGTTATGATAGACTTCGATTTCGACTTTCACGATAAAGCCCCATCTCGTGCCACACTGTTTACGACTGGTTTAATGTGTTTAAACGTGGTCGCACTAATATCACCGATGATCTGCGTAGGGACGGCCTTCTGAAGATAACATCAGTGAAGTGCGTCGTATGATAGAGACTGACAAAAGAGTAACTTATCAGCAGATTCGGACAAGCATAGGCATATAAGCATATAATAAGCATAATAAGCATAAGCGGGATGAGTCAAGTGCACAAGATCCTTCATGAAAATTTAGCGGTCAGGAAGCTTTGTGCCCGGGGGATATCTCATAATTTGACAGAGGCCCAAAACTCCCACGTGTTGATTGATGTCGTGAAATGGTTCAAAGATTTAACGGAGGTGACTCAAATCAAATGATGTGTTCGACATACTTAAGGGGGGACGACTGCTGGATTTATTGTTATGATCCGGAAAATAAGAGACAGTCTGCTGTCTGGGTGTTTCCTTCCGAGGAGCTGCCAATTAAAGTGAAGAAAGGTCGAAGCGTCGGAAAAAAGATGGTGACCTCGTTCTTCGGAAGGACAGGTCGTTACGCAACAATTGAGGATCGAAAAACAGTTACTGCAAAGTAGTATACTAACAATTGTTTGCCACTTGTCTTGGAAAAAGTGCGGGAGAAACGACTTTGTAGTAGGATCCTCCTTCACTACGACAACGCCTCGTTGCACACCGCTGAGCAAACAATCGACTACTTGGCGACCTCAGACGTGGAATTACTGGGTCACCCACCCTATAGATTCGACCTTGCAACTTGCGATTTTTGTTTATTTCCGAAAATAAAAGAAAAACTTCGAGGAAAAGGTTTTATGGACGCCGTGGAAACAGTGGCCGCGTTTCAAAATGCCATCGAAGAGACCCCTAAGGACTGTGCTTTTCTCAATGGTTCCATTGGATGTAGCGATATATTGGTGTGAATAGACACTGTTTTTAAAAGATATGATAAAACTAATAACTTGCTTTATTTTTCAGTTTTTGATTTTCTAAAAACTTTCAGTGTTATCCTTGTATGTAGGTAGAATAT